TTTTTTTTGTTAGAAAGAAAAATAATTATGTCCCACCTTAGCCCCCTCAGTTACAGAATTACAGAGATGTGCCATCATAATCAAAATAGAGCATACATGTGTATGTGATATTATGCATTTATGGTTGTTCCTATTTATTGTGGCATACACATATGACATATGTTAAATATTATATATCATTAATCTTAGAAATTTTAGAGTGTCGTAGATATAGAAATCTTTTTTATTTTTTTTAATTTTTTATTACTTACACTTTATTCATTTTGTATCCCCCCATAAGCCCCTCCCTCCTCCCCTCCCAATCCCACCCTCCCTCCCCTTTCTGCATGCATGCCACTCCCCAAGTCCACTGAGTTAGTATTTTTATATAAAAACATAAATCAAAAGATTTGTAAATCTGTGTTTGAAAGAAAGAAGACCCATTTTTATGCTATGTCTGTTTGCCTTGAGTATATCATCTACTGTTTTATTTATTTTTATTTTTTTATGTGCATGAATTTGTTTTGTTTTTGCAACGATGAGCATTGAACTCTGCCTTCAGGGCAGAAGCTGTGCTCTGGCTTTTTCACCTCTGCTCCCTAATAGTTTTCCTAACTGATAGAATTAGAGAAAAGCATTTGGTTTTGTTTGTTTGTTTGTATCTCAAGAGGTCACTAAACAAGTTTCACTAAGCTGCAGGTAGCCATGCATGAATGGCAGTAAAGCTATTAGGGCGTTGGAATTTGATTAGAGGAAAACAGATATTAAATGAAGTAGTGCCTGCTTGTGTGTGCTCTGCATCACTCTCTGGGAGATTTAGTGCTTTAGAGAGTGCTTCCACTCCTCAGACCTGTTCCCCTAACAAAGCTGAGTTAGATGATTTCCCCAAGCTGATCGCTTAGCAATTTCCTGCATTAGAGTAATTCTCTGAAATAGCTGCTCTTTCCCAATTGAAAGTAGATTTGCACATGATACCATTTCTCACTTTTTCATGCTCTCTTATACTTAGAAATTTACACAGCGTCATGCTTTGCATATGTAGATATATCCTGGACCACATTATATGTAAAACCTACTTCTGATTAGGTAAATAGAACCCAATGAAAATTGAATGCGTGTCCGCTGGGGGGTGGGGCTGCCCTGACCACTCATGCCGCTCCAGACTGCAGTGCTCTGAAGTGATTGAGGGACATAAAGCGTCATTGTGCTAGGAAGGAATATAGGGATTATAGACCTCTAGAGAGCCACACTAAAAAGACTATGAACACGTGGATTTACTGTTTTATTAGTATGTTTTATTTAATATCATGTGTCCAAAATATAATCTTTCAATATCTAACCAACGTTTAGAAATATGATCTTGAGGCTACCGCAGTGGCTTGGGAAGTAAAGGCTCTTACCACCAAGGCTGATGGTCTGAGTTTGATCTCTAGAACTCACACAGGAAGCAGAGAACTGACTCTACAAGTTTCCCCTGACCTCCATCTACATCCATGACCTCACAATCAATAAATACATCTGACATTTCAAAAAGGAATAATGACATTTTACCTATTTTGATCTGGAGAGATGGCTCAATGGTTAAGAACACTTACTACTCTCTGATTCATTTCCTAGCACCCACAGTGGGCAGTTGGTAGCCATCTGTAACCATAGCTCCACTTTAATGCCCACTGCTGGCCTCCAGTGACACCCACACTAATATGGCACACATTCAAGCAGACACATGCTCACGCAGGCTCACAGAGGCATGCACACACACACACATGTAAATAAAAATAAATCTTTAAGATTTCAAAATACAGATGGTTTATACTGTGTTCCCAATCAGTGAAAATGAACCCAATTTCCAGAAGTTGTGTTCTGTTTTACAGAGAAAAGCATCAAAGAAGGTGCCTTGAAGCTCAAAGAGGAACCATCTAAAATACTATCTGGGAATAAGTTTCAAGACCGATACGTTGTTTTACGAGATGGACATCTCTTTATTTACAAGGATCCAAAGGTAACTGGATAGGCAGGATTGGTGCATGAGAATTACTATTTTGTGCGAATATTCTTACCTTCCTCTGACACTAGTCACCATCATCTTCTTCAGAATCATGCTTGCATTTAGCCAGTGACTACCTGCAGTATTTGGGGTGTAACCCCAATCATTCAGTAACTTCGTCTAGAATTTCCTGTGGCCTCTCTATGAACCTCAGGTTTTGATGTTGTTGTTTGAAAGAAAATTGCTTCATCACCAAAGAGACTTTCAGCATGTTAACATAAACTATCATATACATCAGCATCGTAGCCAATAGAGAGCATGTCATGTTTAAAGGCAAAAAAAGAAGCTTTTTGTGAGGTTACCGAGATTTAATGAAGAGTGGTGTTAAAAAGACAAAACCCCAAATCTGTAACAAATGTTAATATCTTCCTTATACATTTGAACAAATCATATTTACTGGCTTCTATAGATTATTCCCCTTAAGTGTTGAGTTTTATTAAAGAAATGTGAAGTAGCAATAAGAACCAGAGCTTTAGAAAGTGGAGTTAGATAACTGATGCAGCTATAAAATGCTGAATTTGGCATAAGAAATGCTCACCTCTGCTGAGTGTTATGAATAAGTAACTAAACATCTCTGCTCCTCTTAAGAATATGATGATTTTGGTGTGAGTTTTATAAACTGAATATATTCATATTTAAATAGAATATGTGTAAGAAGTTTTTTTGAAATGTGAAATATTTGTGAATTTATATTATTATCAAAATCTACTTATACAGACACCCCTAAGAATTGGATAGGTAAGTTGCAGAATGAATAAATATATTCAAAATAACTATATCTGAAAAAACAAAATGACTCATCTAGGATATTGCAAGCCATTCCAAATCAACAAGAAAGTCATCTCAGAAAACACTTGAGCAAAGGATTGAGCAGATGCTACATGAAGGAATCTATAGAAAGGACTCATGAGCCACTAAACCAAATATGTCCACCATCATTAGTTATCATAAAATTAATGCTAAATTATTAGTATACAATTTTACAGACCGTTTGTTTTCATGAAAATCATGAGCGGCAACTCCAGCTTGGACAGGGATGTAGAGTAACTGGAGCGTTTATGAACAGTTAGAGGAAGGGAAATATCCTAATATTATGTAGGACTCTTTCAACAATTTCACAATAACGTTATTCATACATCTGCCAGTAATCACCCCTGAGCACTTGCACAGGTTATAAATGAAGCTGTTGGTTGGCAGCTTCATTCACAGAAGTATCCATAACTAGGAGAATAATGTCCGCATAGATAGAAGACTACTGATAAGATTTCTAGTGCATGTCACGACATGGGTGAACAGAAGAAGCACAGCAGTCAGTAGCCAACCATGTGTCCCCATTCTGTTCAGTCTATGCTGAAAGTATTTTTCAAGGGTTTGCTTGGCCCGGGGAGAAAAATAGACATAGAGTTCCCAGGTCACAGATAGAGCAGTATCTGGGGAGAAGCATTCTCTGTCTCCTAATTCCACCTGACACACTCAAAAGTGTCACACCATTGCTGTTTAGTGTTGTGGTTCTGTTCTCTCTGCAGAGGAAAACTAATTTTTTTAAAAAAATAAGGCACTTTCCTACATGTTTCGAGTTATATGAGTGGATTTTAAGGTTCGTGAAACTTAGATTTATATCTGTGAAAATCAAAGCTAGCCTTTACACTTGATTGTTTAACACTGTACAGCATAGCCTGGTTAACCTTTTCTTGTTCTTGGGTACTTGCTCATTAATCTTCTATACTTGTAATGTGTTGGTGCAGGGTTGTGTTTTCAGTTGTATGTCACACTGGGAGCTTTAAAAATGAAGTTGCATATTTTAGTCCAGTCAAGACCCCTACTCTTTTTACTGCACAGCAATGGAAGTCCGTAAAAACAACTCTCTTCAGGAGTGGAAAGAACGGCAGTGTGACCACCATATCCCCAAATAACAATAGTATGACTGCTGTATGACAGCAGAATGTGTGGCATTGGCTAGCTTCACGCCATCTTTCTAAAAGCTCCCTGGAATCGGGACTTTTGCTATTCAATTTTTCATGTGTCCTGAAAAGTCACAAAGACTTTACATAACCGGCCAGAGACCATAGATAACCAATAAGCAATAAAGACAAAATCCATTTCCAGATGTCAGGTTTCAAAGGGTGTGTGAAAGGACTGCCTCAGGACAATACATTAATATCACTTTAGCTGCATATTTTGGCTGACAATTTATTTGAAGATGGTAGGACCTTTTCATCCACATAGTACCAAGAATGTTTAAATATGGCTACACAAGGCTTATTCGCAGTGACCTCCTACAGAGGACCAAGGTTTGATTGCCAGCACCAAGACTGCATTGACCTCGTACGCCCTCATCTGTTGTAGGCGGGTGCTGGGCGCTCACATGGGAGACAGACAGACATGTGGGCATGTCTGCAATACCTCATAAGCACCCAAGATTTCAGAGCATTGGGACCGCAGTTGAAGAATTGCAGTCCAGTCACTAAATACGAAGATTCAGCTCTGGGACAGTTTTACTAACATATGTGCCCTGTATACATCTAGAAAATTATTTCCTGAGGAGGAAGTAGAAAGTATAAACTGAGAAATATATTTAAAGCAACTGTTAATTAGAAATAATTTATGAATGTTCATTAACAACAAATTAGAGTAATACACAAGGGAAGATAGATTTTGTTTTCACAGGTTTTCCCTGCACAGAAAATGTTAATTAAAATATGTTCAGACCTGATTTACATAAAAGGTGAGAGGTTTAAAAGAATATTACCATTACACTCTTAATGGTGTGAAAAAAGCAAATGAGTATGAGGGTGGGAGAGGTATTCTTAACAGTTGCATGAACTAATAAGCAAACTCCTTTTAGCCCCAGGAATAATTTGAAGTTCACTTATTTAATTGACTTAGTTAATAACTTTACTTTGAAATTTAGTAACTCAAGCAACACATTGTACATTTCATAAAAGTATAGTTTGTTGAACTTTTGAAGACATTCGCTAGAAATAGGACATACCAGAGAAGGGGGGAGAGGTATTTTGCCAACTGAGATTTACTTTTCTGGAACTTTCCATTGGGATCTTTGCAGTTCCCTGTAATGGATCTCAGTTTGAACATGGAAACATATGAGAGATTTATCTTCCTAGCTGCTGAGTTGCCTAGCCAGTTATGATTTTAGTGTGGTGTGAAGTAATAAGCTTCAGTGGCAGGAGAGCCGTGAGGAATTTCTTTATACTCTTTAGCTCCTACAAGAAAGACTTTCAAAATACAAGCAGGACATTGGACCTACCAATGTCCTGAATAGGTTCTAAGGCATGCAAATGGCCCCATTCACCTATTGTTGGCCTTGCTGCCTTTCATTCTACTCTGTAGCCAAGTATGGTGCTGTGTAGCAGGGATTAGCCTCCTGCACTGCTGAGGAGGATGTTATCCTCAGTTGTAGTGTCATTTAACCTCTGACATAAGTTACAGTCACCTTATAGCATGCAGGCTTAATGGCCAGCCCTGTGCTTCCTGGGTAGAGCCTACAGAGAGGTACCTAATGGCTATACCTCCTGATCACACAAAAGACATTCTTTTTTAAATGTTTGCTCCTTAAAATTCAAGAAGTTAGCGAGTCATAAGATCAATATCAAAATCATTTTTCAGTTGTTCTTAGAAGAGAAAATGCCCTTAAAAATAAATAGAAGCAAATCTGAAGGAAGTATAGACCTTCACTGATAAAAATTGATTTAACCTTACTGATATTGATTTCTAACTCTATTATAATTCTCAGAGTTATTTTTTAGAACTCTATGAAAATAATAGTTTACCTCAAAGTCAAATAGATAAAATGAAATAGTCATGAAATATTTTTCCAACCATTAAGAATATGCAGTACTATAAGGAGAGGAACAGAACCAAAATATCTGGGCACAGGGGTCTTTTCTGAGACTAACACTCCAACCAAGGACCATTCATGGATACAGCCTAGAATCTCTGCACAGATGTAGCCCATGGCAGCTCAGTATCCAAGTGGGTGTTCTAGTAAGGGAACAGGGACTTCTCTAACATGAGCTCAGTGGCTGGCTCTTTGACCACCTCCCCCTGAGGGGGGAGCAGCCTTACCAGGCCACAGAGGAGGACAATGAAGACAGTCCTGATGAAACCTTATAGGATGGGAGTCTGATGAAGGGGAGGAGGACCTCCCCTCTCAGTGGACTGGGGGGAGGTGCATAGGAGGAGAAGAGGGAGTAGGATGGGGTTGGGAGGGGATAAGGGAGAGGTGTACAGCTGGGATACAAAGTGAATAAATTGTAATAAATGAAAAGAATATGTAATACATCAGAAAATCTTTAAATAATACAACTGAATATACAGGTGAACACGGAAGGATGATACTCTGAAGTCCAGTAAAAGAATTGTTAATCTAGACTTAATTTTTAAAACTATGTCATAAGAATTATTAGCTATAGATATTTGTTAAATAAATTGGAGCAGACTAGTTGTCAAGAAAAATACTTAATTTAAATTTTCACTTATATTAAAACTTAGAATATTTCAGGATAATAAAATAATTAAATATTTTAAAGTAGCAGCCATCAAAATTCACAAGACCGTGAAAACAAGTTTCTGTCAACTGTATGGGAATATCTTGAATTAAATGAAAGTTAAGAATGTGTGAGCCTGGTATTGTGGTACATTTCTGTAATTCTAGCCCTTGAGAAATGGGGGCAGAGGGATCAAGGCCATGCTCTGCAACATAGTGAGTTTAGAGTTTGAGGCCACATGAGCACTTTCTCAAAAAATAGTTTTTGACTTCATAACAGAACAAAATTAAGTCAAACTTCAATTCAACTTGAAATTCAATTCAATTTCAACTTCAATTCAATTCAAATTCTATTCAAAAGAAACCAGATTTCCACGTTAATATATTAAATGCTAATATAAAACATAAGACATGGATAGACGTTGCTGGAGATGGAAGCTTTTGTTTCCTTCAGTCATCCCTACCTCTGGCTCTTATGATCATTCCCACTCCTCTTCTGCAAGCAACTTTTAACATGTATTGGCTACTTACTTAAGCACAGATAACATAGATGTTCAAAGGGGTTGGGGAACATGTGAATGATCCGGAATAAGCACATGTTTTTAATGTGCTTTTGCAATGTTTTTGAACAAGTTCTCCCTGACAGTTTCCCTCAGTGTAACTACTTGTAGTTTAATCTGTGTCCTTGCATGTACATGGACTGTTTCCCCGCTGTAAAATCCATAATGTGTAAAATTCTCTTTCATTTAGTGATAAAATCTGACCCAAACCAGTCCGACAGCTAGACCCTATATTCTATGTTATACATTATTCTATTTTATACATTTTCTACTTCAATTTATTTATTTGCTCATGTTATAATCAAATTAGTCTTTATTTGCCAAAACTTGTAGTATACGCATACACATGGGACAAAAAGAATTCTGAATGCAGTTATTACTATCCTACAATGTTAAGGAGATTCAAAATCTACTTAATTACAGGTTAAATTTTCTTCCCTTACAGAGCAGCAAACATGACAAAATGTTTCCTCTCAGTGTGATGAAGTTTTATCTTGGTGTGAAAAAGAAAATGAAGCCCCCAACCAGGTAAGTCTCAAAGGAAAGGGTTGTCTAGTGGGGGGAGGAGGGGGAAGAATTGTCTGTTGAAGGGCTTAGCACTAAGTGGCATTGTGTAACACCTGTAAATCTTGAGTCCGTCATCTGTGCCTGTGGTCCTGGGGCAGACTGAGTGGCTTTATGAGTATATAAGAGGGATAATATTTCCATGGAGCAAAGGTCAAGATCCTTAGTAACTGCTCTCTGCCCTGGATGTCTTGAGACATCCTTGAGAGACTTCAACAAATTCTAGGATGTGGTTCCTTGGCCTCCCATTCCTTGACAGAGCACAGCAGTGTCTGGGTTCCAAGGTCACTAAATAAACACAAGAAATCAAACCTGCTCTTCAACTTTCTGATGCCTGGTGTGTTTTGATCCTGGCTTTGCCAATCTCTTTTTATTTGCTGAGACAAATTTGGATGAATATCTCTAAGAACATGGACCCTCTTAAACATTATGTGTCTTTTTAATACTTGGTGAACCCAGCATTTTATTTATATCATAATTGGTTATCACACTCACTCTGATTAGATTAGTAATTTTATTACAGTATTCCAGAAAACTCTTTAATGACCTGTGACTCTCAGATTCCATTAATGAAAATTTTCTTCTTCTTGCTTCTGTGTTTAGTTTTAAGCTGAAGACATATACACACGTAACACATGCACACATATACACGCCTGATTTTAGCCATTTCATAGATATTATTCATTAGTATCTTCATCCGCTATGTGTTGCTTTATAAAAATACCTGTGACCAGCTATTTATGATAGCACATCAGATAAAAACACTAGTGATTAATTTTCACAGGCTCTAACATGTGGTGCCTTTATTGGGTGGGTTCCGTTAGGGGCCTTTTCTAGCCGTGTCATGTCATGACGTAGGACCAGGGTAGGACTGTGTTTAACTTGTTGTTTTTGTTTCTCTGTGGGATGCAGTTGGGGATTGACGGCTTATTCTGAAAAACATCACTGGTAAGTTAATAACGGCAGCCTTTTGATTTTATATAATATTTAGAATTTTGAGGAAATAATGACATCATGTCATAGGCAGAACTATAGGCAAGAAAAAGGAAATAAACTTGAATTAAGTTTGGTTAATTATAATCTTACATCCTTGCCAATGTCTCTTTCAAGAAACTATATCTGATTTCTTCCATAGAAATTTCATCATTTCTTCCACAGTAGATGCCAGTGGCATCCAGCTTTTAGGAAATGAATCGGCAAAATTAAGGGTTTTTTTGTTTATTTATTTTTTAATATACCTAAGTTGACACTTGAAAAAATAACTCATATCCTGTTTTCAAACATGTTTTCCATTGTCTCCCTTCTCCTGCCTGTCTCCCAGAATGCTCTGAAAACCAGGTATTCACTGACCTCCTGTCCAGCCAGTCCCCAAGTTATATTAGGTTAGATATTTCCTCGTCCCTTCTTCACCCCAACCCTTGGGGCCCGTGCGTCTTGATCTGCCTGGTTTATGGAGAGTCTCTCTGCCTCTTACACGCCTGACTCTGCTTTTGTTTTCTACCGCGTTCTCTACCCAAGCACCATGGTCTTTTCTCCAGTGAACACTTTCTCTCCTGCTTAAAAACCCTTCTGTGAATCCTGTACAGAAAATCTTGTGGGATTTTTGCCTTCATCAGCCTCATTTCTTCCTAGTTTTTCTTTTGTACTTGAGGGGAGAATAGGGCATCAGACTTTGGTTTGCTGCTTCTTGTACCTGTGAGTTACACATGATTCACCTTTAATCATATGGGCTGCTCCCTTCCTCCCAGCCTCCATCCACTTCCTGATGAACCAGCAAAATCAGGTGTCATTCCTTCAAACCATAACCTTGGTAGACACCCTCTCCTGCAATCATTATTAATTACTTTACATTTATTTTTGCATACATAAGATAGTTTCACATTTGCCTGGAGATGAAAAATGACAGTGTCTTAGCAAGACTAATGAAAAACAAAACAAGTTATAGACATGCCATTTTCCTGTTTTTTCCATGTAAATTGTGTTTTTACTTATTATTTATAAGTTCAGGAATATAATATAATATAGTTCTGAGTATAATTTTATCGGCATGTCCATTATTTCATCCAAACAACAGGTACAAAATCTGCCTCTTCAGAAAGCAGCTTCTTCTCAAGCCCTCTGGTCTTGTAGTACCTACATCTGCTGGTTTTTTTCATCAGATGCTCTTGATCTCTCTTACTGCATTTGTTTGCATAGCCAGCTTCACTGACGTACTGCGCAAGGCTTGAGAGCACAAGCTGCTTTATTTAGGGTTTTAGTAAAATATTATTGAGTGAGTGCCAAGAGACGCGTAGTGATATTTGTCTGACGAGACCATGTCTAAGCCTTAAAAAAATAAAATAAAAAACTGCTGCTTCATGAATGTACACATATGTTCCACTCAGAGTGTCTGGAGAAAAGCTGTTTTATGGCCATGTGCCTGAAGACACCAAATGACACTGACTTTGCTTTTCCGGAATGTTGCTGATCTTGTGCAGCAAGGCAATTTGATGTTTGCTTCCCGGAAGACTGAAACCGCTCCTACTGACTTAGTCTGAGTTTGATTTCAGACTAAAACCAGAAGTTTGGAAGAGTCAGATATAATTCTTTTTTGTTTGTTTGTTTGTTTGTTTGCTTTTCAATACAGGGTTTCTCTGTGCAGCCCTGACTGTCCTGGACTCCCTTGTAGAACAGGCTGGCCTCGAACTCACAGAGATCTGCCTGCCTCAGCCTCCCTGAGTGCTGGGATTACAGGCGTGCACCACTGCACCCCCAGAGATAATTCTGACTATTTAATTACTAACCACAGTATGGAAGAGCAGTTGTCTATTACCAGTGCTTATTCTATAAACCTTGCTTTTTAGGCACCTGTGTTGTGAGAGCTTGCAATCCCAGATGGAGTGGATGGCCTGCATCTTCATTGCCCAGGTACGATAGCTCTTATGGCCATCTGACCTACTCGAAGTTTCGTTTAAAGGAAACGCTAATGCTTGTTATTGTCACTGAAGTTTTGTTTTTAATGCACGCAATTGACACACTTTGACTTGCCTGAGTTTTTGCATATACAAACATCTAAATTTTCCATTGGCCTTTGAGGCTGTTGTAACTGTCCAGCCTTCTTGTTCCTGCTCCCCACACAGGACGGATGTGCTGGTTCAGGTGGTAGCCTCGACTGAGCTCTCACTGCTCTGCAGTGGAAGGAAGCTCTTCATACAGAAACACACACTTTGCCCTTTCCTCCCATCCTTCCTCCTCTGTCACTGCAGAAGCGAGGATGGGAAACGACATTTCTTTGATGCCTGTTGTCTGGTAAATACTTCCTAAGAGTCAAGTTTTGTGTCCCTTATGGTGCACAGCAGAACCTGGGTTTGCGCGAAACTGTTCGTTAGATTGTGCACTGCTCTCAGCACTCAGCAAGACCCGCACTCAGCTTCACACTTGGTCTTCCGCTTGAAGGAGTGTTGTGACAAGGGTCACATGTTCCAGTCGACTGAACTGGCTCCTTTCTCTGCCCTTTCTACATGGCTCAGAAGCACCACTTCTCACAGAGCATTGGAATTCATGGCTAATGAATAACTTGTCACTATTACGGTTCAGATCATTTCATGTCTCTTACAATGAAAAAGTTAACTCACTTCCAAATCTAGTTCTTACTGCTTTTGAAAAGCATTTCTCTATGATTTAATTTATTACATTTTCCAGGGATTAATAAAGATTCCACCTTGTCACCTATTTACTGCTTTGTAATGCATTTTTAGGGGGAAAAAAAGATGTATTCTTTTTATATATATTAATATAATTTATTTTTAAATAATTTTATATATTCACTTGTATCCCAGCTGTGGCCCTCTCCCTCTTTCCCTCCCATTCCTCCCCTCCCTCCCTCATCTCCTCCCTGCCCCCTCCTCAGTCCACTGAGAGGGGGTGTCCTCCTCTCCTTCCATCTGGCCCTAGCTTATCAGGTATCTTCAGGATCGTTGCAATGTCCTCATCTGTGGCCTAGCAAGGCTGCTCCTCCCTCAGTGGGGAGGGGAAGCTCACGAGTTCATGTCAGAAACAATTTCTGTCCTCTTTACTAGGGAACTCACATGGATACTGAGCTGCCATGGGCTCTCTCTGAGCAGGGTTGTAGGTTATATCCATGCATGGTCCTTGGTTGGATAAACAGTCTCATAGAAGACCCCTGTGCTCAGATATATTTGGACCTTGTGGGATGTATTGTTAATTTTTGCATCTTTTCTTAATTTTGAAAAGTCAGCTATTCATACTATACTTAAAAACCAAAACTCGAAATGTGAAGTTATTTTGTTTAAAGTTGGAAGCATACAGTCAAAAGCTGTTACATTATCTGTTTACAGCACAATTAAACTGATGTTTTTGTTTTCATAATTGGAGTCAGTAGACCTTGGTGTTGACAGTCAAGGAATGAATAGTCCTTCTCCATTGTAGCACTAATTAAAAACATACGTGTAATTAGTTGTTTTCTTTGTGCCTTTTCTGCTAAAATGTAAATTCAGTAGGAATGACTTTCTTTTTTGGCTCATGTGTGTATCTGCCTCATAAAGCCTATTGTGCTCTCCAAAATATGTACATAGTTTTTCCAGAATATGAAAACAGTAACTAAAATAAGCACTTGGATGAGATCTGAAATGGAAAGTGTGGTGAAATGAAGCCAATGTAATGAATTTGGAGAGGAGGTCCTATAAATGCAATACAGGAGGGCACAGGTTGAAAGTAGCTATCAGGGAGTGGATTTCTGAAAAAGTAAGAGATGAACTGAGATCTCTGTAAAATGAAGAGTTGGGTGTTCTGGGCATTGGAAGTGTCATCCCATACTTGGGACTGACAGGTCCAAGACTGGAGGTGTCACCACAGGCCCTTCATTTCACAAGTGTCCTAAAGCTCTCACAGAGGGAAGATATGAGAGTTTAAAACAAGGATATAACTACATTATTTTTAGTTGGAAAAACAATTTTGAGACAGCTGTAGAGAGAGTCAAAGCTGGAAGTGGAAGAGCAGCTGTGTGGGAGGAGGTGTCTGCAAGGCTGGTGTGGAGACTGTGCAGAACATCAGGATTGAGGAATGTTTTGATATAAAATAAAAGTGTGTGTGTTTTTTTTTTAAATTTTTTATTAATTATACTTTATTCATTTTGTATCCCCCCATAAGCCCCTCCCTCCTCCCCTCCCAATCCCACCCTCCCTCCCCTTTCTGCATGCATGCCACTCCCCAAGTCCACTGATAGGGGAGGTTCTCCTCTCCTTTCTGATCTTAGTCTATCAGTTCTCATCAAAATTGGCTGCATTGTCCTCTACCGTGGCCTAGTAAGGCTGCTCCCCCATCAGGGGGAGGTGATCAACGAGCAGGCCAATCAGATTATGTCAGAGGCAGTCCCTCTTCCCATTACTATGTAACCCACTTGGACACTGAACTGCCATGGGCTACATCTGTGCAGGTTATCTCCACGAATAGTCCTTGGTTGGAGTATGAGTCTCTGGGAAGTTCCCTGTGTTCAAATTATCTTGTTCTGTTGCTCTGCTTGTGGAGTTCCCGTCCCCTCCAGCTCTTACTATTTCCCACTTCTTACATAAAATTAATTCATGAAGATTTAATTTGAAAGAAGTAGTGGAAATCTAAGAAGAACCCTAATTTATTTATTTTTGTTATATACCTATACATTTATTAACAAATTTTACAGTTAACAATGCAAATTTATTTTAGATTTTTTTGATATTTTTTAATTCTTTATTACTTACACTTTGTATCTCCCCCTGTGGTTCCCTCCCTCCTCCCATCCCAATCTCTCCCTTCCTCCACCCTCTGCATGCATGCCCCTCCCCAAGTCCACTGATAGGGGAGGTCTTCTTTTCCTTCCTTCTGATCCTAGTCAATTAGGTCTCATCAGGAGTGGCTGCATTGTCTTCTTCTGTGGCCTGGTAATGCTGCTTCCCCCTCAGGGGGAGGTAATTAAAGAGCAGGCCAATCAGTTCATGTCAGAGACAGTCCCTGTTCCTATCACAATGGAACCCACATGGATACTGAACTGCCATGGGCTACATCTGTGCAGGGGTCTTAGGTTATCTTCATGCATAGTCTTTGGTTGGAATATCAGTCTCAGGAAAGACCCCTGTGCTCAGATTTTTTGGTTCTGTTGCTCTCCTTGTGGAGTTCCTGTCCTCTCCAGGTCTTACTGTTTCCCACTTCTTTCCTAAGAATAATTTATTTTTATTAATTACAGTTTATTCGCGTTGTATCCCAGCTGTAGCCCCCTTCCTCATCTCCTCCCATGCCCCTCCCCTAGTTCTCCTCCCCTCCCTCTGACCCCAGCCTATCAGGTCTCTCAGGCCTGGCTGCCATGTCCTCCTCTGTGGCCTGACATGGCTGAAGAACCCTAATTTTATGTTTGTTTGGAACAAGGCTTTTATTTCTTCCTGTTGAAGTAGGCTTCATTTTTTTTTTTCATTTTCAGTTGGATTTCTTTCTGAAGCATATATGTAAAGCATTTTTTTTTTGTTTTCTGAGGTGTCATGCTTTGTATTGAAAAATAAACACTGTTTAGAAGATGCCATGCTCCTGCATTGCCATGTTCCTGCTCTGTGTATACAGTAAGCTCTCACTACACTGTTCTCACTGAGTGCATCACAGTGATCAGAACAGCTCAGTCTTTAAGTACAAAATGAGTAAGCTGTAATTTTATTATCCTTTGCAGTCTGAGTATTTCATTGTTTCCATTTTCAATAATTACAGAACTTTTGCCACATTTGGAGTAATGATTTTATAATAGGTTCATATTTTTAAGTAAGTGCAATTTTAACACTTCATATAAAACTTGAGGGTGGAGAAACACTCTCATAGAAGACCCCTGTGCCCTGATATATTTGGTCCTCGAACCCCTGCTCGGATGTAGCCCATGGTACATCCAAGTGGGTACCCTTGGAAACAAGGACTATTTCTGACATGAACTTAATGGCTGGCTCTTTGACCTCCCCCACTCCAAGGGAGGAGCAACTTTGCTAGGCCACAGAGGAGAACATGGCAGCCAGTCCTGAAGATACCTGATAAGCTAGGGTCAGATGGAAGGGGAGAAGGACCTCCCCTATTAGTGGACTTAGAAAGGGGCAGGGAGGAGATGAGAGAGGGAGTGTGTGATTGGGAGGGAATAAGGGAGGGGGCTATGGCTGGGATACAAAGTAAATAACCTGTGATTAGTATTAAAAAAATAAAAATTATTAAAAAAAAAAAAACTTGAGAGTGTAACCCAGGAATAGATGTGCCTCTTGCTGATAACCTGGTTTTCAGTTTTCTTCTTTCTTTAATTTAAAATTAAGAACCCCAAGTTTTAGAACATAGAAAATTGCTGATTAAATAGAATGTTATCTGAGATGTAGAAGGAAGCCAAGTTTCATTTAGACCAAATGGAAGTTGAGACAGCCGTGAGTTTTAAAGGGAACATGGTGAGCTGCAAAGCAGATTAAAAATCCAGGTGAAAGTGTGAGGCTGTAGTGTGTATGTGGGGCAAGTGGACATTTGGACACGCTGTGGAAGCGGAAGCTAAAGCCAACAAACAGGAACAGAGAAACAGAAAACTGTTTATTAAACCCTAGGTTGTTCCACATTTGGGAGGTCAAGCAGACTTGAAGGAAACAGATAGAAGATTTGAGGAGGAATGACAGAGAAAACAGGTAGAGATAACAAGGTTGTGAACAGTGTCGTTAGTTAGGGATGTCAGGCCCACAGAGATTTGATGGTTTCAATCAGTTTGACTTTAAGATTAGATAGTATACATTTTTTTCTCGTGTGGTAACAGAGAGTCATGCTGGCCAAGGCCAGTCATGGAAGTACTGTTGTTCATAGTTGTTCAAAGTCATATACATCACAGAGGGTTGTACGTTTTTTCCTCAGATGATAGGTTATAGAGCAGTTTTATCTTTGCCTGCTGGGCAGTTAAAGATACTTACAACCAGAACAATTGTTGACTACAAAGAAAAGAAAAACTTGGTTACATGGCTGTGGATGTAGGGGAATTAGTATATCTTACAATGAAAAGTTCTATATCCAAGAGATTAATGATCATTTTATGATTAAGTCAGTGAGTTTAGCACTTGTGAGGCAGTAAAAGTTGCTTAAAGTGTCAGGGTGGAGGAGAAAGTGAAAAATAATATGCAAATAGTGAGGAGACCAGTTGTCCTGTGGCAATGTTTGCTAATCACTATAAGTTTAAGGAAAACTTTAAAGTGAAATGAATCTAATACACAACAATCCTATGTATCTTTAATCCATCAATTCATGGGCAGCACAGAAAAGAGGACATTATAGGGAGGTGCAGGGCTTTGTAGAAGCAAATGTAACAGAAGGAAATGTGTATTTCTTGAGGATAATTATAAGGAAGAGAATTAATTAATTCACCATGAAATGAAGTTTTCTCTTAAATGACTATGATGGAATGGTGGGCTAGAATTCAGTCAATAATTTGAGGATAAATGTACCACTCTCTCTGTTATAGAGTCATTTTTACTATAAATGTTTGTGTAAAAGGGTAACATTTCTTTTAAATTCAATTAGAAGAATAAGTAACATTTTTCAAAGGGTCATAAAATAAGGCTAATTTTTTAGATAGCCATGCCTTAGGTCAATTTGTGGTATATAAAATCAAGTTATTTTCACACTAAAAATCACCTTTGATATAGGCAGGAAATAAATGTTTAGTTACTTTTATTACAGAGGCTAGAAAATATAGACAAGTGCATTGTTTTTGTTTTACAAAGAGACTTACCATTTTCCTCCAGTATTTTCTACCATTTGGTTTGATAAGTAGCACAGAAAGCCTGTGTTCGAAACTTAGAAATTGAACTGAGACCTCAAAGCTCGGTTCACTCAAGTGTTTCACCTCCTGGAGCCACGTGTCTGCCAGAGTCAATGTGGAAGTAATGACAAACAGCATTCTCTCAGAAAGTAGATGATTGGCTGTGGATATGGAGGGGCCGGGGACTAATGTGCTGTAGCACGTAATGAAATCACATACCAATGGCACGAAACTCTGTTTCCACAGCATGAGAATGATATATGGCCGCCAGCTGGAAAGGAGCGAAAACGTTCAATAACCAAAAATCCCAAGATTGGAGGTTTACCTCTGATTCCCATCCAACATGAGAGAAGTGCAACCCAGGCCCAGAAGAATATTGAGGTTGGTTATGATTCTGTTGTCTTTATTATAACCTCCGCTATTTATTTTATTATGATTTAACATGGCTGAAAGTATATAGATTACCTCATTGGCTTCAGAAGCTGAGCAGCAGTCACTTTGCGAAACTCAATAATATCCATAACACACGAAGAGAACCATGTCAGTAACCCCCTTCCACTTGTTCTTGTACCAGTGGCCACTCATGACAGATCCATGACCCCACTGATGTCTCTAAAGTAAGCAATCATACGTGTTTATCTAGACACCCGCTGGAAAGCCAGTCTCATGTCAGTTTCACAGAAGTAGTTTCACTTTCCTTGACTGTCTGTGGAGCACAAGACGCCCAGATCATGACACAGAAACCCAAACCTAGTGCCACAGTCACAGCCCAGATTGTAAACCTGGGGTGTTCTAAAGGAACCGCAGATAACCTCCGAATATCAGTACAAATGATTCGACATTCCTCAGAAAATCAGTTTTGTTTTCTGTACCGCCTTGTGGCATGGAAGAACATAGTATATTTCTTGACATGAAGTAGGGTGTCTTGGGAAGAAATATGCTGCTTCCTCTCAGAACTCACTTTGGAATGAACCTTGGCATCGTACCTTAGCTGGATTTCTCAAAAAATAAGACAAAACAGCAAACAACCTCTGTAAAAAGAGATATAGACTATATTCTTTGGAATTTGATGATTTAATTTGGGCAAACTCTTAGAATCATTCTTTCTAAAGGTAAATAACTTTGACAACCTTAATGCGCGGTAGCGGGCTCATCTTGTACATGTTTTTCTTATGCCACGGTGTACTTGAACCTTGGCCTACTTGACCTTGCCTAATTGATGTAATAAGAGGGAAAAATAAGCCTCTAAGGAACCATGATTGCAGCTCTGTCCATGCTCTACCTGCAGCCTTTGACTGTAATCCACTCTGCAGGGTTTAACCAATCAGGGATCTTATATTTCTAACGGTTTCATTTACGTCCTTGGGCCAGGGACGCACAGGTTGGCCAGTGGAGCCACTATGCAGTGGGTATTTGCCTTCTGTGAGTGCAGCCTCCTCTCCTGACGCTGCCCTGGGACCAACAGAGGAACAAAGAAGGGATGAAACTTTAAGATAAAACACTAACCAATATTAGCAATATATAAATAAATCTTTAACTTACTCTCTAACCCCAAACCACAATTTAAAGGTAGATTTTCAGCGTGACTATACTAAAATAAAATAAGTTGACTAGGAAGTCAGAGCAAGTGCTATATGGGGAAACGTGGTTAAACGAGGGAGAACCGTACAGCAAGAAAACAAGTTTAACAGATTTCTCTACAAGAATACCACTTCTCAGCTCCTTTATGGACTGTGACCCTGAAATCAGGGGACAACACTCTGAGGCAACACACAAATCCAGATAGGCAAAGGTTAACAAGGAAACTGCCATTTACATCTGCTGGGAGAGGAAAAGTCATTTTCTCCAGTGACATTACCCTGGGTAAACCATCTTCTCCAGATCTCATGGTTAGGAGCAGTTGACCAACAAAATAATGGACTCCACAGTTTTGGGGGGTTTTGTTGGTTGGTTTGGAGGGGATTGTTTTGGTTTTGGTGTTTGTGTGTAGGCTTTTATTTTAATACAGTTTGGTGCTTTATTGTTTTTTGGGGGGTGATGTATTGCATTTTCTAGGTTTTGGGCATGTTGTTATATTGTGGTTTTGGTTTGCTTTTTGAAAAAGATTTTAAAATTGGATATGTAAGGAAGAGGAGAAGATCTGGGTGAACTTAAGGGAGGGGAAGAGTATTATTAAAATATATTTAAATTGAAAAATTGTTTTACATTATGAAAGTTTTAAAAGAGTGTTAGGAAAAAAATCAATTATGCAGGCTGCTTATAGCAAAGTAAAATTAGAGCCTGCGTCATAGATATACAATGAACTATAGAAGGGGAAGCATCAACTGTTTGCTTAATGTATTTTCTAGGTATCAATTGTCTCATATATTGTTTAATGCGGAATATTCTATTTTCCTCTACTTTAAGGCTGCCAGAGCAGAGCTCGAAAGGCTGCGGCTGGGGGAGAAGCATGATCGAGACTTCACGGACTCCAGCCTGAAAGACAGAGCATCCATCATAGCCCACTGCTTGGAGCACAGAGATGACAGACTTCGAAATCGTGCCAGAAAGCATCGCAGTTTGAACTGCTTGGAGGACACAGAGGCGGAGGTCCCACACGGCCTGCCAAAGGGCTCTAAAGGTCCAAAGACACTAAAGAAGACAGAGGACAGGAACAGCAAGGTGACTTTAGACCCGGACCATAAGCTGCCGTCGAAAGTCATTGAGGAACTTAGTGTGCTTCTTCAGAGGTCAAGAGCCCTTTCTAAAGAGCTACCAGATGGGCAGACATTACAGAAAGAGATCAAATAAATCATTGCACACTTGTTTTTTTAACATTGTGTACATGTGCAAAACATATATCAAACTGTACTTCTTGAGTTTCTATATCTAGATAAATTTGTCTGTATTTAAGCAATTTGTTTATCTGTACCTAAGCATTTAAAGAACATTTTAAAATATGTATATATGTGGTTAAGTATAAGAGATCAAGTTTATTTTGGTCTGAAAACTGGTAAAGTTCAATTGTATTAACCTTAATAAGCCTTTGGGTTACTGTAAGTGGCCAGGTCTTTGAAAATAGATGTGTAAGTGAGATAATTTATGAACAGAAACTTGTACTGTACTGTGTAAAATGCTGCATGTACATGGAGCCTATTGAACTTGTATATTTTGCACTTTGAGAAGGCTTGTATAGAAGTTGCCTTGTCTTTTTAGGTTTACATAGGGTCCATTTTCTGGAAAAGAAAGGGAAGTAAGTTCAAAAGGGGAAAGATACCACAGTGGCTGCCTAACAAACATCGGGCAGAAAGGCAATAATTTAAAAACACTCTGCTGCCCACAGAGTTAGCCTAACATTTATTCCAACTCCACAAGAAACAAAACTTGTTAAGAAGACACTGCTTGTTAAGAAAAAAAAAAAAAAAAAAACATTGTCTTGGGTGCTTCAACAATAACGTCCAGCCAGCCGTGTCGGCAGTGGCGCTGGCCGCCGTCATGATGGTGCCGGTGGAAGAGCCCCAGGATATGTTCACTGCAGCAGAGCTGTCTGTCAGTGTCTGCGCCGAGGAGCTCACACTCCACTGAGGAATGTGCGTGGGCCCGGAGGTCAATTGCACTGTTGTTGCAGGCAGTTCTCTAGGGTCCAGACTGTGTGTTGCTACGAACAAAATTCATCACTGCAAGGTCCTCTGCTGTTTTGGTTTTGTTTCTTTTGTGTGTGTGTGTGTGTGTGTGTGTCAGATAGTGTTTACTTTTGCACTGTCAGTGTCAACTGGAAATGTGTGCTTTGTGGCCACTTGAGTGCAGGGATGGCTACTTACACAGCACATTTTCAGGCAGGCAGTTCACATTCCTTTTTCTTTTCTTTTCTTTTTTTTTTTTTTTTTCCTACCTGTGGAAATGAGAAAACCCTGTATTTTTGTTGCCACAAAATGATTGGGTACAGATTTGACAACTTTTATAAGTCAGACTACCTTAGCTTATAATAGTTCATTTCAAGGATGGCGTTTTTGATAACTTTCTTCCAAATCAAATTTGGTTGGTGACTCTTACAACTGGAAGTTATATGGCTGATCTTTCTTCATCCTCTCCGCATTGGGATTTTTTTCTGCTTAAGACATGTCTGGTCTATGCTCTTAGAGTCTGTTTCACTCCTTCCCTCACAGCAAAACAATATGCTATGAACTAATAGGTCTGTCTTCACACAGATATGCTAACTACTTGTATTTGTTGAAGACAGCAGAATTTACCAGGAGTAAGGAGTATTTATTCTTTAAATCCAAATAAATTGTAACTGAAATCATAAGTAAAACTGCAGGGCAGTTTTATGAGTTGTTGGCACTACTGAGGAACTTTCCTTCAAAGCAAGATATCTGTTGTTTGGAATTATAAAAGATTAATTTTAGAAAATGCATTTCTAATAAGTAATGATATTTATATTTTTATGAAATAAAGAGACAGGGAAATGATGGTTTGGCCTTGTTGGGAAGGTATCTGGCACTTTGATCTATCTTACTGGAATTTCTTCTGAAAGTTGAGTTTAAAAACCAATCACTCTGTTTCTCTTTTATTCATGAACAATTGTCTCCATTTTTCATATGTAACATAAGGGCTAATGGTTACATCTCACCTATTTTGAGTAAAAATTAAAATAGTTTTACAAGTCCACTAGAATATTACTCTTGTCTTTATTCATTACTCTCAGAAGTTTAAGTTTATTTTGGTGCAGTAAATGAATCAAGTGCCTTATTTATTTTTTCTTTTTATTCCCATAGTTTATTTAATCACTTCATAGGCAGATCACAACCCCTCCCCACTCCCTTCCCCGTCCCAAACTCAAAGAAGAGGCCCACCATGGCTACTAACCCACCCTGGCACATCAAGTCACAGTTGCACTAAGCAAATTCCTCTCCCACTGAGGTCAGACAGGGCAGCCCAGAGAGGGGAAAGGGACCCAAAGACAGGCAGCAGAGTCAGTTGTTGGGGCCCCATATAATGACTTGTGCTGCACATCTGCTGCCTATGTGTAGGGCCCTAGGTCCAGCCACGTGAGCTCTTTGGTTGGTGGTTCAGTCTCTGTGAGCCCCCAGAGGGCCAGGTTCGTTGACTCTGTAAGTCTTTTTGTTGGTGTCTTTGACTCATCAGGCTTCCTCAGTCTTTCCTCCCAGTCTTCCACAATACTTCCTGAGCTTCTCCTGTTTAGCTGTGGATCTCGGCATCTGTTTCCATCAGATGCTGGATTAAGCCACTCAGAAGAAAGTTAAGCTAGTTGTCTGCAAGCATAACAATATCATTAGCAGTGTCAGGGGTTGGCTCTCTCCCATGGGATGCCTCAATCCCTGCTCCCCCTACACTTGTAGGCCGGAAAAATTTTGAACCAAAGGTTTTATGAGTAGGTTGCTGTCTCCCTCTCTCCGCTGGAAGTCCCACCTGGCTATAGGAGGTGGCTTTTTCAGGCTCCATATCCCATACTGCTGTGAGTCTCAGCTTGTGTCACCCTCACAGACTTCCAGAAGCCTACCACATCCCAGAAATGGCCCCCTACCGATTTCCATTCTCTTTCCCAAACCCCCTCCCTGCACCTGATCCCCACTCCTGTTCCCTTCCACACCCCTCTCCCTCCTGGCTTCCTGCCTCCAACCACTTCAGATGTCTATTTCACTGCCCCTTTTGAGTGAGATTCTAGCATCCTCCCTTGGACCCTCTTTGTTACTTGGCATCTTTAGGTCTCTGGACTGTAGCCTGGTTATCCTGTAATTTATGGCTAAAATCCACTTATGAGTGAGTCCATACCATGTGTGTCTTTGTGGTCCTGAGTACCTCACTCGGAGATATTTTTTAGTGCCATCCATTCCCCTGCAGAATGCAAGATGTCTTTGTTTTTAATAGCTGTGTAGTGTTCCATCATGTAAGTGTACCTTATTTTTGTTTGTTTGTTTGTTCCTTCTTCGGTTGAGGGACATCAAGTTGTTCCCAGTTTCCGGCTATTGCTAATAAAGCTGCTGTGAACATGGTAGAGCAAGTGTGCCTGCGGAGCATCTTTCGGATTTATGCCCAAGAGTGGTAGAGCTGGGTCCTGAGGTAGAACTATTCCAAGATTGCAGAGAAACCACCAGATTGATTTCCAAAGTTCTTCTACAAGGTTATAAAAAGATTACACTCCCACCAGCAATAGAGGTGTGTTCCCCTTGCTCCATATCCTTGCCAGCACATGATGTCACTTGAGTGTTTAATCTCTGTCATTCTGATGGGTGTAAGATGGAATCTCAGTCATTTTGATTTGCGTTTCCCTGCTGACTAAAGACATTGAAGATTTCTTTAAGCGCTTTTCAGTCATTAGTGATTCATCAGTTGAGAATTATCTGCTTAGCTCTGAACCCCATTTTTAATTGGGTTATTTCATTTGTTGGTATTTGATTTCTTGAGTTCTTTATATATTTTGGGTATTAGCCCTCTGTGTTATGTAGCGTTGGTGAAGATCTTCTCCCATTCACTTTTAAAAAATTGATATGATACATACTTCTAACTGTTCTCTCATTTTAAAGACAGATCAAAATAAATGTTATTTTATTGTAAAGTCTGAATATGTGGAGCTATTGCCTTAAAGGACTGAGAGCACTCATTCTCATTTTTGTTTCCCTAATGTCAGTTATCAGCCATGTTCTGTAACTACTTGATGTCTAGACATTACCTGATGGTTCATCAAAATGGCACTGAGATATGCAAGCAAAGACAGCAATGGCAAAGTTCTGAATTGCGTACAGATGGGCTGCTGATTTACACTGCACATGAGACAAATCTTAATTCTAAAGTACTAAAAAATTGCATATTGCAGAAGGGGGTGCTTTAAAAACTAAGGGTTGCTATTTAACATCTCATTTACATGTTCAGAGATGAGGAAGGCTCTCACCAGCTTATCAAGCTTATCAAAACGTCCGCCAAGACACATCACTCAACAGGAGTGAGACTTAGGTGGAAACTGTTAACATTTTGCCATCACGTGTAGCTATATTTATCTCTAATTGGAAACCACACACTAATGAGTCCTGCAGATTACTCACGTGCATCTTTTTAAAGCATGCGGTTATTTTGGTTTAGAACATTTTAAAGTGTTCAAAACTACAGTGTCCTCACCTTCTCTACCACAGCTGCATATATAGAAAGTCAAACTTTAATAATTTGTACCTTCCCCAAGTTAAGATTTTAAAATTATGTTATTAAAAATCTTTTTTTAAGCCACAATAATAGCTACCCTTGCGTGTAGGCACTTTGTGATTGCTATGGTATACTTGTAAAATTAGGCTTACGCAGACATACATTGTGGGTCAAATATATGAGGCTAATAAGTAAACAGTAATAATAGAATGAGGATCAGTCAGTGTTAGTGATTGATGTTGTTCTAGTTCCTACTTTATCTAAGTTGCATCCACAGTTGAGGTGTTCCAACAGCTCACATTTAACTTTAACCCTCAAAATCTCAAAAAGTGACTTACTTTGATGTAGCTCCTTTCAGGAGGTGTTTAAACAGGAGCCCCTGAGAGTGAGCTCTGCTCTGCTTTGCTCTGCTCTGACAGCAAAGAGTCAAGTTCGGGCCCACCAGAGCGCCATTGTGTCTCCCTCCTTTACCTGCTCCATCGGCAACTCCAATATACCTCAAATTCTTCATTTCCTGTCTTTCCATCCCCCCCTTATTGTTTTTCATATCAGAGACTTAGAAGAAAAAGATCATGAGTGACAGACTGACTGTATTATTTCAGGGTGACACAAGAGTAGCATTAAAGTTTTGGAAGGTTCAAGCATTAGCAGAGGAAAAAACTGCAAGATTTGTAGGAAGCTGTCATAAAGGAGGAAATAATATTTTATCTCCAGGGCACCTACTTAAAGAAATAAAAATGCTTAAAAGCAAAATATATGTTATATTTATATATGTATATGCATACATATATTTGAAGAAAATAAACAGTAAATACAGATAAAAGTGAGAAAAACAATAAGGTGTAGGTAAAAGGTCCAATATATCACTAATTCCTTCGAGTACAACATAAATACCTCAACACCTACTTTCTGCTCTCTAGATGTGTGTTTTTAGTTTAAAAGTGGTGTTTAATGTAAGAACTTGAATATACACATGCTGTAGAGACACTAATTTTCAACAAAGTTGGAGTCTCCAAACTCCCATAAGGCAATCCTCTTTATGGCAGGAATCTTTGTATCAAATAAACAAATGAGAGAGAGAGATCATTCCTCCAGGAAGGTATATATAATAAGCTATTCTACTTCCAGTACAATTAACTATGAACTTTGTAATGCAAACCGGCGTTCACAATTGTAGGGGAAGCTGTTACCCTGGGCAGGTGGAGGTACTGAAAAGCATAACTCAAATTTACAAATGTGCCCCAACAAGTTACACACCTTCACACGCATTCTACAAATGATTACACAGATGAAACAACTTTTATATACATAAATATACTGTTACTGGACCTAACAGAAAAAATCAGTGTTCTTGAATAAGTTTGAATCAATTTTCTTTCTTAATGATTCATTTCCAAACTGCTCACTCTATTTCTGTATTAAAAATATTGAGCAGCCTTGAGAGCAATACCTCTTCTCTAATAAACAAACTTAGGCTCTGCTCCCAAGGAATGTTATGCTAATTTTGAAATTTTCCTCTTTCTCTAAAGTAAAGTTATGACATTACAGATAGAAGTATCTAAAAGACAATTGATTAATCACTCATTTCCCAACATGGAGAAATAAAGAATATTAGACATTTAAATAATATTTTAGAACACATGAGAAGTTACAAGTTGAATGTGATAATTTTATTAGTAGAGATGTGATGTTTCTGTAAGTATGATTTTGAAAAATGTGTTGCTATATTTCATATCTAACCACAAAATTATGCATATTCATAAACAAAGTGTGCACATCTGCCAGGCAAATAAATTATCCCATGTTTTTAAATCATCACATATCGTCTATACTAGATCTTTACTGGAATAATTAAGTTTCAATCAGTGGTAGATTCTGTGTCCATGTCTTCAAAAGGCTTCTGTAGCATTAAAAACATTTCTAAATCGTTCGACCAATATAATTCAAACACTAGAAATGCTTCAATATGTTTTAGTACTGTAGATTGTTCAAATGACTATTAAAACTAGGAGTTATTACATAAGTTAAAGATACCTACAATCACTTCATTAAACAGTAACAAATTTCTATCAATGCATATTTCAAATTACTTCTGCAATGCAATTCCTGTAACCAGTCACTTTAAATGTGTTATAGGTGACCTACAGACATTGAGATTGGGTTTTTGCTTTGCTTTAGGATAACATGCATTATAAATATTATTTCTGTAGCAGCATAGATATGAGCAGCCACCAATTTTACACTTAGTGGGTTACTGCTTCCATAGTTTCATAAATGCCTGCTTGTAAGGTGGTCTGTGACTGTAGAGTGATACTACTGTTTAATGTTATATGTATTCTTGTGTTCTTCATGTAACTTTTTCTTTGTCTGCCTTTTCCTATTATTAATATTTAAGTGGAAGGCTGGCAAAATCTCTCTTATTTTTTCAATATAGCTATTGTTTTTTTCTGGATTCCAGATCTGGTATCCTTCAATTAAGATTGGTATTTACTCTTCAGCTTGATTTTTGGAGGTGTGTA